TACTAAATGTATTTATTTCAAGCATTTTACATTAGGTAATTGATTATCACATGAGGTGTACATGTTGGTAATTTTGCCTTTTCTTTAAATTTAAGAACTCAAGACCACCTATAGTGGACCTGACTTAGAAGGTATGAGCTGGTCTTCCCCCCCTCCTGCTTACTCAGACTTCTTTTTTTATTCCATTAAGGAAACATTTTTGTACATTCTATAGTGTCAGCTTGACATTATTGATTTTTTGAACAGACTTGCTTATATTGTCCAGAATTCCAAACATGTCTCCATTAGGAATAAAATTGTAGCTAATGGAAAATACAGTGGAGGCTGTTTCTCTCTGGTCTTCTCTTCTTTGGTCCCTTACCTGTTTCCATATCTACTCTACTAACCCATCTTTGCAGACACCCCAGATTGCATGTTTAGGTGTGATACTTTCTGCTCCTCAGCCATTACACTAAAAACTTCAGAAGCATCAGTCATTGAAGAGGCAGAGAGTCTTGTACTGCCTGTGTCCCTCCAAGTGTGTGGACATCCTACAGCCTTTCCATTGTTTGGCCCTTTGTGTCCAGTGTGTGATATGTCAGGCATTAGCTCTGTTTATGAGCAGCGGTCCTGGATGCCTGTCCAGTTGCAGGCACCACTGATACTTGTGATACTGAAATCCTCTTATTTGCTTGCTCTTCATTAAATATGGAACAGTTATGTAAATGGAATTTGCTTGTGATGGTGTTCAGTTATCACTCAGAAGTAGGTGCTGGAGTTCACTAGAATGAGGGCTTTAAAAATTAATACTGATTTTGTTTTCTTTTTGCTTTTAGATTAATACATTTGCTCCTTAACCATTTCTGTAAAATATTTATCTTGTGATTACAAACACAATAAATGCTTGTAGAAAACTAGCAAAATACAGAAAGGGCCAACTTGACTACTTACCAGTCCAATTATTTAAATGCAGAATAACCAAAATTGTATTTTTTTGTTAATTTTTATAATGTAATAACCACTGGTAAATGTAAAATCGACAGCTTTGTTACATTTATTCAGCACAGTAGTAGACTAGTTGAAAGGACACCTGTCCAAGCGACCCTTGGCATAGTCAGCACGCACACAGACGTGCTGCCTGAGTGATGCTTGGGGTAATCTGTTAAGTGACTTGAATGTAACGAATGTGCTTTTTTGAGTGTCTACTTCCACTCATTCTATGACATAATGTAACTGTAAGTAAGGTCGTGTTCATAAATAGGGGGTCATATTTAACCCGGTAGTTAATCAAGCTTTGACATTTGAAAGCATAGCTCTCCAGACTGCCAACTCTGCCCAGGACTTCAGGCACCAACCGCAAGTTCTAGGGCAGTGATGGCGAACTTTTTAGAGACCAAGTGCTCAAACTGCAACCCAAAATGCACTTATTTATTGCAAAGTGCCAACACTGCAGTTACACCTGAATACTAAGGTTTCAGTTTAGAAAAAACAATTCATACATTAACATCTTTTATCTTAGTAGAAAAACACAAAAACAGGCATGCTATCAGGTCACCACCACTGTTCTAGGGACTCCCAAACCTACACTGTGTTTGATAATTAGGTAGAGGACACACCAGGCTCATGGAAAACTGATATGCTCATGTACGTGGCTTATTAAAGAGAAGGGACACAGGACAGAAATCAGCCAGAGGCAGAGAGCATATGGGCTTCAGCCTGGGGAGGTTCCAGAAGAGATGCTTCCCTTGCTTTCGAGATGTGTCACCCTCCTGGCATGGAGTTGAGCCAGCCACATATGCTCCCGCCAGCCTCTGTAGCCTAGGTTCTCATGGAGGCTCTGCTACACAGGCATGGCAAATTCATGGGTTAGCCAGGTGGTTGGCCTCAGCCTGCAGGTCATCCTAAAGCCTTCACCCTAAACCACATGGATGGGCTTGCTTTGCCTGGTCAGTTCCTACTCTTAAGACTTTTGGATGTAGCTGGCCCTCTAATATCAGGTGAGGCCAACCATCTGCCTTTGATCAAAACGTTCCCATCAGGGAAGAAGACGGACTGCTTTCCAGAAGCTAAGGGCAAACACCAGAACACTCTAGACAAAGCCAGATATTTTGTTTTACTGTCCAGTACTTTAAAAAACTATAATTTTATCTTTTGATTCCTGGCTTTTAGAAACTTAGATAACTTCTATTTCTCAGTGCCTGACCCCCCCCAAAAAAAAGCTGCTGTGAAAAAACACTTCTTATTAGTTAAAATAGATAATGTATATTCTGAAGAATTTTGATGCCTTTCAGAAACATTTTTCAAATTTAAATTGCCAGCAGGAGTGTAAGAGTATTCATTTTAGTGCTTCTTTGCCCCACCAGGTACTTAACAAGAAAAATCATAGGTGATTCCATAGGTAAAATATCTCACTGTTTTAATTTTCAAGTACATATTTGTTATTAGTGAGGTTGGCTCTTGTTTACTTAACAGCTTGTACCATTTCTTTTGTGAGTTCACTTTTTACTTGTTTTGATGTTAAGTTAAAATTTCAAGTTTCTTCAAAAACCACTCTATAAAACTCTCCCTCAAAAAGGAGTATAAAACCTTCCTCAGAGACATTGAAGAAGACTTGAATAAATGGAGAAAAGCTTCATGTTTATGGATCGGAAAAATCAATATCATAAAGAAAACAAGGGGATAGGTTTCAATATTTTACCCTTAAATGCAGTCCAGTGTATTTGCTAACCACTGGTAAATATTATATGTAAGAATGAAGAAATTTTTCTCTAAGTATGCTAAGAGTTTTTACTATGAATGGGTATTGAATTTCATTAAAATCTTTCTGCAGCTCTTGAGATGGTACTATGATTTTGCTTTTACTAATGAAAAAGATTATACTGGTTAATATCCCTGTGTTAAATCCGTCTTGTGTTTGTGGAAGAAATTTGGCTTCTAGCTGCTATATGTTAGCTTCATTGGTAGTGTCCTTGGTATTTTTCCATTTATGTTCATGAGTGATATTTGCTTGTGCCTTTTCTTAACATCCTTGTCTGTCGAATTTGTTATTGTAAGGTTATACACACCTGGTAAAATGAGGTGGGAAATATTTTTTGTGGTATTTGTTGTTTTTTAAAACAAGGTCTCGTGTAGTTTAGGCTACCCTTAAACTCACTCTCATCTTCCTGCCTCAGCCTCCTGGGTGCTGGGATTACAGGCATGCGCCACCATGCCCCGCTTTTCTCTGTATTCTGCACTGAGAAACAATAGCTAGAAAAGAGAAACTGGACAAATATAGTGTCCTGGAAGCAAAGAGAAGGACATATTAATAATGTTGTAAAGTAAATTAGAGTTGAATAAGGAGCATTATTCTTTGCAGTTCAGGGCATTTTGCCTTAAAATTCGCACAGAAGAATCAGTTCTTGAGAAAAGCCAAGGAAAAAAGATGAATTACAAGATACCAGGACATGCTATATACAGCCTCAATAATTAAACAGTGTTGAATTGATGTAAGAACGGACAGAGATGCCATACTTGAAAACTCAAAGTTATTTCAGTATTTATAAATATTTATTATATGGTAGGCATAGTTCTCTTCAGGAGTAGAAGGATGGATTACTTAATCATGGGGCTAGCCCAGGTGGATTTTCTTTTAGAAGAAGAAAAAATGAATCCTGAAGGGATTTAGTGCTGAAGTACAATAAATATAGCCATAACCATCTTGCAGAAAAAGAAAAGCACATATATAATATCTTAATGAACATAAAATAAACATGTTAATAGAAAAAATTAGCAAAAGATGTGAACAAATATTTTACAGACGAGCAAATTAATTGGCCAATATACTTAAGAAAAATACTAAGTTTATTAGTCAGGGAAATGAATCAATGCATATTGATCATTAGCAGAAAAGCATTTAAATAGATTCTGTTGCTAGCAGAGATAGGAGATAAAGAGGATTCTCATATCTGGTAGCATGTTTTTTTTTTTCCTCTAATTTTTCTGGTGTCATGGTATAAGCATCTGTATTTGGGGAGAAACTTGTGATAGGAAGTTTGGTTTATTTGCTCTTGGAACACCATTGTGTGACTTTCCACTAGTCACAGAATCTCTTGTGGCACTATTTTCCTTATTGTGAGGTGGAGACAACCATCCTCAGCTGACCCCTTTCTTCTGGAGTTGAGTATCAGAGAATGTGTGTGACAGGTCTTTGGAACCACAATGCCTTGTGCTTCAGAAAATATTAGGTCAGGCCATGAACTTTTCAGGAATGGAGTCTAAGAACAAATTACATAAAATTTGGCGTGTATGTTGAAAAGCAATAAAATTGTAGATATAAATTGTAGTTAAGAAGGCTATCCTTTTTGCATTTCTTCTTTCTAAGTTCTGGAGGCAGAGAACAGCACTGCTCAACAGAATTTTGTAGTGAGGAAGAAGCTCTGGTGTGTATTATTTCCAACTGGGAAACTGAATTTTAATTTCATTTAATTTTAAATAATTCATTTTACAGATTTATTATCTATGTGTAGGTAGTGCTGTATTGAGTGGGACAGGAAACCAAACATCTAAAATATGTTATTTATTTAATGACTTTTGTTTTGGCTTTTGTTTGTTTTATTCTTTTATTGGATTATGATTAGGAAAGATACATTTAGAAGTTTAGGGGCTGGGGATTTAGCTCACCAGTTCCGCTGCCTGCCTTGTGGTCCCCAGCTCAATCCTCAGTAACCCCCCCCCATTAGAAGTGTAAATAGAATGGATTCAAAAGGTATGTAACATGTAAGAAATAATATTTTAGCTCAGATGTGAAATAGGTACATGAAATGGAAAATTGGGGAGAATCCTAGGCTTTTGGGTTTATGTCCGAGAACAAAGCTATATTTTGCCATTTTCATTTGCAAAGCAAAATGTGTCTTGGACTCATGACCTAAAGTAATAAACAGCTTCTATCTCTTACAGTTTATGAAGAGCAAAGGCTTTTGATTGTTAATGTATATTCTCCTGAGGGTTCACATGTCCTTTTTGTTGTTTGTTTTTAATAGAGCCCTGTGAAGATAAATCAGATTAGCCTGGATGAAAGTGGAGAGCACATGGGCGTGTGTTCAGAGGATGGCAAGGTATGACAAGAGGGACTGGAGAAGTTCTGCTGCCCCTCAGTGTTGCAGTCTTACCTGAGCCCAGGTGTTCGGAAGTGCACTCTGCTTAATATATACCTGCGTTAGGGGAACCTTGATTATTCTTTTTGAGTATTGGACTTGCTTCCAATTGCTTGTAATTAAAGTAAAATATATTTTGCACAAATGTGCCTTAGGAAAAGTAATTACAAGAATGTCAATAATGTAAGTAGTATTAAGCTGATTAACAGCTGTGGCAGGGGTGACGTGTCACCTTAATCATTACTGCTCTGCCACTTATACTTTGGTGACTGGTCTGCAGTTCCTGCAAGACCGTAGTTTAATGCCTTTCTGCCATAAATCCACAAAATTGGATTTCGTGGGTATGATTTCTGTGGGCTAGTGGTTTTCATTTTCACACACAAGTTATGAATGTTTCTCTTGAATTATAGAATCCTTTGATAAGCAATCATAGTTTATCAGAAGAATAAAGTGTCTTACAATGGCCACATTAAATAAATGTAAAATCAATATATGTACAGTTTTCTAAAAACCTGGCACCTACTTCCTCGACCAAGGACATACATCATTGATGCAGTGTATAACTAACAATTACCAGTGCTTCTTGCTGATGTAGAGCTGTGACATTTAGTGGTTGTGGTGATTGATTTTCCACTTATAAGAATGTCTTTTTTGTTTTTAAGTCGATGGGTGTCTTTTCTAATGTTGGTTTGTAATGATAAAATTCTAACTTACTGTGTGTTTAAGATACTTCCCTAAAATAACAGTTGAAGAGAATGCATTAAGAATCATTATAGAACTTTATATATTCCCTACTGAATAGATTTCCTAATCTAATTTTGTATTTCTTATAATGTACTTTAATTCAGTGGGCCCTTAAGATGAGTAAATTAAAAACAATGTACTGCACGTAAAAGAGATATATCTTTTTATACCTGTTAGCAGTGTTATACCCATTAATCTGTTAACAAAAGCAACGTGAAGGCCTTTTGACATACAAGAATGCTTTTTATATATCTAAGCCTGATATTGCCCAAAGAGTCTTTTGAAACAGTAATTGGAACACTAGCACTTTTCAGAAAGCACCGTCAAATTTTACAGTACTTTGTGAAATTCCAAGATGAGCACAATTGTCAAAGAGAGAAGAGGAAGGAGTTGGTTTGTATAGAAATTGAGGGGTATCATCCACTCTTATGAGACATTTTTGTGTTCATGTATTTGCCAAGAAAGTTAATCTCCTTTTTCTCAAAGGTGAGGAATTCCTTCTTGGCAATTACCAATGTAGTTTAAACTTGGTGAAAGGAAATGTTTTTTGAATTGGAAACAAATTCTTACTAATGTACTTTAGGATTTTCAGAGCTTTAAATGTTGAAGAATTATTACTAAAGCATCAAAGTAGAATATTTTCACTAAATCTTCTGTTGCATATTGAGATGCAACCGCTGTTTTAATATGACTTATAACCACCATATTTTCATGTAGATCCATGATGTATTTTGACAAATGAATGTATCATATATTTCATTGCATTACTAGAACAGAAAATAAATCTTGCAGGGCACATACTCATGTAAGCCAGTCCTTAGCACAGGTTAGCCCGTGTTGTGAAAATTGAGAAGGTAGTACAGAATGAAGTAAACAGGTGGCTTCTGATGATAAAAACAGAAAGTTGTTTACAAAGATAAACTCCAGATGTCCTTTTCTAATACATTTTTAAATGGTTATTGTGGTTTTTGTTTTCTTTAATGTATTAAGGCTCCTAGGCAAATAATTATCTATCTTTATTTCAGAGATGACCATTGATATTTACATTCATTTTAAAAATTGGTTCAAATTTATTGTTTCTTCAGCTAGTGCTGACTTCTCATCTCTTACAGCTTCTTTATGCATGATCTAAATTTTGAGAAACATATTGCATAAATTTTGTGTGTCCTGTGTTGTGCATGTCTACATGGATGTTCTCTTTGATCTTTCTGTCATATATTTACAGGTAACTTTCAGCAAGATTTATTTTCTCATCTCTTGTCTTCATATAAAAACTAGGGTCTAGTATGAAATTCTGGGTTGAAATATTTTTCTCAAAAATTTGGAGATGTTGCTATCTGTCTTGTGATGCTTTGTAGACCTATCTAATGCCAGACGACTACTTTTTTTAATATAACCTTTATTTTTTAAATCCTGCCTTGGAGCTTGGACTGATAATAATAATAAAAACAACAACAATAACTGATCCTTGTAATTCAGCTTGGTACGTTGTGTTTAGTTCTGTTCTCTTTTCATTAATTTTGTCTGGAACAGAGTAAGTCCTTTGATCCATATACTGAAGTATTCTTTTTAATTTCAGGAAAGTTTACTTCAGTTATAATTTTGATTATTACTTCAGTTCCATTTGCTTTTATTTCTTCAAAGAAATTCAATAATGTGAGACTGGAGGCAGACTCTCTTATCCCAGAGAATAGCTCTGTGCTGCCCCTGCTGGGGCTGCACCCATCCCCACCCTCCGGCCTAAGGTGAGCGTGGACCTGGCCTCCTCACTCTGCCCTCGCCTCAGCTGGGTAGAGGGCACTTGGTGTGGGAATGTGAGGGGTGCATGCACTTCGGGCCTAACTGTCTATATTCTCCTCACTTATTTCCTAGCAGTCTGCTCCCTCTCCCTCTCACCTTATTGTGCCTCAACTTAACTACTTCCAAGTTTGAGTGGAAGAACCCACAGTATTCGCCCTTCTCTTGAAAATACAGACTGTGAGAAAAACTAGTTAAATTTATGACACCCTCCCCATATGTGCTTTGCTCTCTCATTGTTTTTTTTCCTTGATTCCTCTTTTATTCATTTATTTTTATTTTTATTACTTTCTGTTTACAATACATAATGATTGTATTCCTTGTGGGGAGTTGGTACGTGTATGAAATGCATCTGAATTCTTTTTCACCTCCTTCACCCTCCTCTATCTCTTGCTCCCTTTTTCTTTTGCAACAGTTCTCCCTGTTTTGATTTATCCCTTCATTTCTCCACAGTTGCTGTTTTGCTTTTCATCTAACATCAGTTCTGTTCCTCACTTCTCGGTGAAGTAGATTTTTTTTCCGTTTTGCATTTTTAATTTCCTGAAAACTCTTTCTTCCAGCTCTCTTTTAATATTACCCTAAAACCAATGTAATTTTTTCATAGCATTTTATATGCCTGACAGTATCAAGCAATATGGTTCCATGGTTAGGAGTAGAATTATACCAGTGAGGAGTATCAATACCTGTTTACTCAGAACTTCTTAGGTCTTGTTCTCCTTTCTTTTGAATCCTCTTTACCACCATACTGTTGCATCTTCAATACAGATTCAGAATTTTTAAGGAGATGTTTATCCTGAGCATTTCAGACTTTACACTTTTCATATTAGATCCACCCTGGTACTTCTTGCTCACATACTGATGTGATAGTCGTCTTCAGGTGCTCCACACGCTTTTCTAGCAACCTCCTCTCCCCTGTCTATTAACAAAAGAAAATTTGTCCATTTAAAGGACTCATCTGTTTCATTTTTTTTTTTTTTACTTCTGTTGCAGAGTTGCCTTCACTCAAATTTTAGAATTAACTTTTCCTGTAGTTTGCCAGATATTTAAGGCTTTTGAATATTGTGGATTTTTAAAATTCTATTTACTCTTACAGTTTATGTGAAAAGATACCTTTCTTATTTGTGAATTTGAGGCTGTCTTATATAAAGATACCTTGTGGAAGTGACTTCTGTCATATAGAAGAATGGGGATTGGAGCATTTGGGTTCTGGCCTCAACTCTCATGCTTAAGATTTTTAGCACCTTAGGCGAGTCACTTAATTCTTGTGTAGAATCAGTGGTGTTCACTCTCATTTATCAGTGTTTCTGTGAGGGTCAAATGAAGCAGAAGAAGTTCTTCAGCCCAGGTTATATATTCTTAATTGTGAACCATTAGAAATGTCACTTCCATCTCACCAGAAAGTTCAGTTTAATTTATTCAGGGGCAGGGGGTGTCCAGTCAGTATCCAGGGATTTCAACTGAGGTAAAAACCACTGAGGTAAAGCCAAGTGGAGCACTGAGAAAGATAAGTTAGTGGTAGTCTTAACATTTGACCTGAGACTATGTTGTGACACTGTCCCACTGTACTGAGGTAAATCAATCATGTTAGAAGAGTTTCACTTTGCTAGTTCAGCAAATAATATGCAGTAATATTCAGATCATGCAGGACCTCCTCACTTTCACGTACTTTTCTTAGATGTGTTAGGATCCATCATGATAAACTTTCCTCATGGTGCAGTGCTTCTCTTTCCTGCTTCTTCACCTCCAGTTAGAGGAAGTGCAGTACATCCTGTGCTTCTGTTTTTGTGTAAGAGTCATGATGTTCTGCGCTTTGCACAGTGAGACTCAGGGCAGTGGTTGAGCTACATCCAGAAGACATTCTAATATTCACCCTCAGGATAAATCAAACTCCCTCTGTTACGTTACGTCCTCTGTTCTTAGGACCCAGGGAGCACTCTTGGGTGGATCATTATAAACATCTTATCTTTTAATTCATGAATCTTGCTAAAATTAATAACATGAATGCATCTTTTGTTTGGGTCTTGAAAGAAGGAATCACTCAGAACTTAGCAATATTCAAAAAAGAAGAAAGTAAAGACAGTCTTGTATCTTTGTAGTACATTGAATTTGTAATTTAAAGCCTTGTGGAAAAAAATCCCAACCCATTTGTGCTGCTCTGACAAACTTTTAAACAACAAAAGTTTTATTTCTCACAGTTCTAGAAAGTGGGAAGAGCAGAATGAAGGCACTGGCGTTGAGTGTCTGGTGAGGACTGCTCTTCCACTCCACAGTGGCACCTTTTCACTGTGTCTTCACATGGCAAGAAGACAAATGCTGTGCCCTTATTTGGTGGAAACCTAGTTCTCTGATCTCTTTTTTAAGGCACCAGTGTCCTTTTTATGAAGAAAGAGCCCTCCCAAAGGCCCTGCCTCTTAGTACCATCACCTTGGGGGTTAGGTTTCAACATAGGAATGGCGGGGGCTTCTTTTTTTTTGGTATTGGGGTTCGAACTCAGGACTTTGCACTTCCAAGTCAGGCACAGTGCCACTGAAATCTCTGGCAACACAAACATTTATCTCAAAGCAAAGCCAGTAGATGAATTTCTACAAAATTTAAAGAAGGAACAAGACAAGGTTGTCTACTATCACCTCTCTTGTTCAATATCATACTTGAAACATTAGCCAGGGTAAGCAGATGAGGAAGAAGTAAAATTATCATTATTTTCAGGTGACGTGATCCTCTCTATAAAAACTGATAACATTTCACCAGAAGATTCCCAGAATGACCAAATTCAATAGTGTAACACAATACAGAATCACACAAAAATCAGTGGCATTCCTGTATACCAGTGATGATCTTGTGGAGAAAGAAATTAGGAAATAATAACATTCACAGTAGCATCAAGAAAAGTTAAATATTTATGAATTAACCTAACAAAGGAAGTGAGAAACCTCTACAATCAAAACTACAGTAGTCGGAAAATGGAAATTGAAAGAACATCAGAAAATGAAAAGTTATCCTGTTACTGAATAGATAAAACCAATGTAATCAAAATGGCCGTGCTTCCAAAACTGATATGCAGATTAAATGTGATCCCAATCAAAATACCAGCAACATTCCTCACTGACCTAGAGGAAACAATCCTAAAATTGATATGGAACCAGAAGAGACCCAGAATAGCATAATCAATATTGGGTAATAAGAGCAAAGCAGGAGGCATCACAATTTTGGACTTTAAGTTATAGTACAAAGCTGCAGTGATAAAAACAGCATGTTATTTGGGTGTGGGGAGGACATACGGATCAGTGGAATGGAATAGAAGATGTAGAAACAGCTCCAAGCACATTCAGTTGTTTGTTTTTTGACAAAGGGACCAAAAACATACACTGGAGGAAAGATAGCCTCTTTAATAAATGGTATTGGAAAAACTGGCTTTATGCATTGCAGAAGATTGAATCTAGACTCATATGTCCTACCATGAAGTAAACTAAAAATCAAAATGGTTCAGAGATCTAAATGTTAAAAACAGAAACATTTAGTCTTCTGGAAGATAAAATAGGTAAAACTGACATAGGCATAGGTAAGGACTTTCTGAACACAACCCCAGTCTCAACAGAGATGACACCAAGAATCAACAAATGGGATCTTGTTAAATTAAAAACTTCTGCCCAGCAAGGGAAGCAACCAACGGAGTGAAGAGACAATGGGAAAACATTTGCTAGCTATTCCTCAGACAGAGGACTAATATCTGGAATAGGTAAAGAACTTAAAACATTAAATCTACCAAAATAAAAGACCCAATTTAAAAAAATGGGTAACTGAAACAAATAAATATTTCACAGAAGAAGTGCAGATGGCCTTTTTTTTTCCATGCTAAAAATAATACTAAACATCACTGGGCACTTGAGAAATGCAAATTAAAGCAACACTGAAATTCTGTCTCACTACAGGAAGAATGGCTATCATCAAGAAATCAAATAATAACAAATGCTGGTGAGGCTGCAAAGAAAAAGAATCCCTTCTGCATTGTTGGTGGGAATGTAAACTAGTACAGACACTATGGAAATCAGTATGGAGATTCCTCAAAAAACTGAAAAAGCTAGAAATTCCATTCTACTCAGCTATTTTTCTTCTGGGTATCTTCCTGCCAGGGCTTAAAGACACTGTATTATAGGGATGCATGCATATTCATGTCTGTTACAGCACAGTTTGCAATAGCTAAATCTTAGAAGCAACCTGTATGAATGGATAAAGAAATGTATTACACAGTGGAGTACTCCTCTGCTTTAAGACATTTTTGTAGGAAAATGTATGTACCCTGAGATCATAATGTTAAATGAAATAAACACACAAACTTAAATATTGTATGGCTTTCCTTATGTAGGAAACCTAAACTATTAATAAAGAACAAAATTAACAGTAGATAATAGTAAATAGGGAGGTAAATCTTTTATAAATGTGAAAGGGACCAAGAGATGGAAGAAGGGGTAGGGAAAGGAAGATAAAGGGATGACAAAAATAATTCAGATGTGTTACGTTACATGTATGAACTCCTCACAAACGTGAACTGATTAAAAAAAATAAAACTTGAAAATATAAAAAAATTAAATAAAGTACCAACACTATCTTAGAGACTAGCAAAAGTGTGAACACATCTCATGTATTGGCAGGTGGTTCCCAGTGGCCCTGATACTAATATTAAGCGCCATGTCGTTGAGAACTTCTGGAATTCTCATCCCTTGCTGCTGACAGTATTGGTTAATTAAACCATTCTGTGAAATGATTTAGTTATCTGTTAAATATGAACATAATGTGACTTAGCATTTCAGTTTCTTGTTAATATGCCCTTCGTAAATGTGTGCATAAGTACACCAGAAGATCTGTAAGGAATGTTTATAGCAAAACTGTTCTAAATCGCCCTGATTTGGGAGCAGCCCGGAACTGCGGTATGTGCATGTGTTGTATACTACACGGCAGTGACAGAGAACCAGCTGCTGCTGCAAGCAGCGGTGTTGTAGATCTGACAAGGAAAATGGAGCATGAAGAAGCCAGTGAAGAAGTATGTAGATATTCTGCACTTAACCCACTTAAAGTGCTGGGACAAGGTTGTATTGAATTGTTTCCTAAATGAGGAACTGTATATATTATGCACACTACAGTACTTAAAGAACTGGTCAAAAGAAACTCCTGACTTGATGGATTGGCTTTTATTTGCATAACTCTTACATGCAGTATTGTAATGTCTAACAGAACATAAGACTACAGTACTGTATGTTATCAGCAAAAATTACAATACTGTAGAAGCCACCAAAAGGCCACACTGCCAGACATATTCTTGTGTCCTAAGTCTGAATGCTGTTCATAAGTCCCAAGTGGCAGGTTGTAAATCTGAACAGTTGTTAACCAGGTAGGTTGTTAAAGGAGGACTCTTTATAATTCCACCCCTATAAAATGCAGTTATCAGCCTAACTTATAAGTGGTGATAGAGTCCAGGGTTGTGATTAGTTTGAGGGTGCTGTTGACTGGGAATAGGTACACAGTGGCTCCCTGGCTTTTATTTCTTGATGGTTGAAGGGTTTTAAGTTTATGCCATTAAAAATGTGTCAGGCTACAAATTTATGATTTTTATCCTTTATTTAAAGTGTATGTTACACTTCAGTTTTTGTTGTTATTGTTAAAGGACTCAGAAAATTACAAATATGAATAAAGTATCCTGAAACAACTTTAAGGTAGCTGCTGATAGGTAGGAACTAAGATTTTTCACTTATACACTCTCAATAGATTCAGCCTAAGATTGTAAATGAAGTTCATTTCATGTAATCTCACCATATTGATCTGTGTGGCTGATTTATAAATATTTGACTTAAAGAAAGAACCTTTCCTTAAGGGTTGAAAACAGTTCCTTCAGGGACAGCCCTTGGGAAGTTAATAAAAGAATATTAATAACCTGTTCATATCTATTTCATTTTTGAACGTTGGCTTCCATTTAATGAAACAGATGTGTGGTGAGTGAGGGGAACTATGCCCAGGGGATGCTTATACAAGCCTCATTGCAGTGGGATGCCCTCACCCTGACAGCATTATTTTCACAGGGCATTTAATAGTGGCCACAATGTCTTGGATCATTCATTGTCCTACTTCCCTCTGTTTTACTCTTGGTAGCATCTTCTCACTGACTCAGCAGCCTTTCTGTCCCTATCGTTGTGAACTAATACGATCTGTTCACTCTTTTAGGTGCAGGTGTTTGGACTGTATTCTGGAGAAGAATTTCATGAGACTTTCAACTGTCCCATTAAAGTGAGTATTTTTCTATGAGATTTTTTATTTAAGGCAATGAAGACGATAGTGTTCATTTTGTCAGTAAGTATCAGCTTTAGGATGTAGTGGTACCACTTGGCTGCTCCAAAGGAAGACACGTATATTATGGGACTGTGACCTTAGTCTGTCTTCAGGGAACATTTATAATAACAGATGAAATCACATGTGCTCGTATACACATGTATGCTTGCACACAGTGATTAAAGACTCGGGTAAAACAATATAAAAGATTGCAAAATTGAAAGAAGTTACCTTGAGCTCTTCCTTTTAGTGATGGCCTCATGCATGCGGTAATGTTTGATAGGGCTTGTGTCAGTGGACAAGCACACGGAGAAGCTGGCTTCCATGTGGAAAAACAATGTAATAGAAACGGAGAAGCTGGGAAGTTCAAACTGTTTGGGAAGTGGCAAATAGTCTAGCGTAGGTGGTACATCAAAGACTAATTTGGTGAAAGAGCTATACAGGCAGATTGGGGCTGGCTGTATATTTGGGCTCATGAATTTGGAGTCTGTCTGTTAAGGAGAAGTTATTGAGTGTATGCAAACAAAGGAGTGACATAAATTGAGCTACTGTGCATTGGGGAATTTAGTACAGTGACTGGATACAGTGAAGATTGCGGGTCTGATGGACAAGAGGCGGGAAGACCAATTTTCAATAAAAGTTGTGGGAAGATATCTACTGTACTTGTTAGAGGACAAGGTCATTCAGTTTTTTCCTCTTGTTTATTTAAACTCTATTGACCAATCAGTACAGAGGAGATAAGATCTGACATGTGTTTTAGAAAGCTGAATTTGCCAGAATGCAGGTGATTTAAGTCGGAGAGTGGCTGGAGACAAAAGACAATTTAGAAAGCTTATGTAGTACTCTGGGCACGACAGCAGGAGCTCAGAGAAAAGAGCAATTGTGATTATTCAAGATAGAGTAGAGGTGGTGAATTTAGACATCCTTTAGGAAGTACACTTTCTGCCCTCAGTCATACCAGGATCAGAGTGACCAGAGTTAGAGGAGCTCAGCAAGTGCAGGGTCTTGCTCTAGCGATGTTGTGATGGCCATCATTTGTAGTAAGGGATGGTCTGCATCAGAGCATTGCTTGTTTGATCTTGCTTATATTTCAGTGTAGGATATCAGGAGCTGTTACAGGGTTTTGGAGACATGAATGAAAATTCTCAGGATAGGGATTAAACACAGGATATGTAACTAGAGTTGAGTAAGATGAAGCCATTTTGACCATCCTCAGTGGAGGAAAGATAGCCTCTTTAATAAATGGTGTTGGAAAAACTGGATCTCAACCTGCCAGAGATTACAATTGGACCCTTATCTTTCACCATGCGCTAAATTAAAATACAAGTGTATTAAAGATCTAAATACTAAAACAGAAACACTAAACTTGCTGGAAGATAAGTTAGGCAGAACTCTTGAAGACATTGGCATGTGATCTGATCAGTAGCAGTTAGAAAAAAATCCAGAAGAGACATGGGCTGCGGTGTCAGAGGCAGCTTGGAGAGTAACTGGTGGGAAGACTGGGCCAAGGGTGGTCATTGTAAAGTTGTGACAAACATAGCAAGGACAGCTTTCACAATAAATTGGAGGTGAGGGAGTCAGAACACCCAGTAAAGGCTCTGCTTGCAAGAAATTTAGAAATAAAGGCAACAGATCACCTGGCCGATCACAGGGTAGATTGTGGAGGTCATGTTTTGATTGATGGTAAAAATCAAGAGGTAGAATGATTAAAGTCGGAGGAGGGGATACTTCCTGGAGCAGCACAGGGAGAGAAGTGGAGAGCAACCAGGGAGAGAAGGTGACCTGGAACTGAGCCCCAACCAGGGAGAGAAGGTGACCTGGAACTGAGCCCCAACCCACTGCCCAGCAATCACACTGCAAAGTAGGCAGTGAGTGGAGAGCAGTCCACAGCGATGGCCCTGATTGTTTTCTTTTCTTATGTCTTAAGGTATTTTTAAGGAGCAGAGATGCCTGTTAAATTCTAGAGAAAGCTAGAAGGACTTGTTTTTGTGATACTAGAGATTGAAGTCAGATCCTTGAATATCTTAGGCAAGCGTTCTACCAGTGAGCTGCATATCTAGCTCTTTATTTTTTATTTTTAAATTTTGAGACAGGGTTTCACTAAGTTGTCCAAGCTGGTGTAAAAGTGTGGTCCTCCTGCTTTAGCCTTCCCTAATAGATGGAATTACAGCTGTGTACCACTATACCTACCTAGCTAGAAGGACCCTTAGTAGATATTTTAAGAATGTCTAAATGAATCTGTATTGATATTTAGGGTGGATTAGGAAAGTGTTGAAGTTTCCTCCACCCTGAGAGGTACAAGTAGAAGAATAAAGGGTCTTGTGCTAAGCCCTAAAAATGGCAATGTAAGAGAACTCTGTCAACCTACCCATGGGAAGGGGAAAGTGTATTAGTCCATTAATAAGAATATAAGATGTTTAATTAAAGGTTAAAACCCAAAATTCATTAATTTTAGTGCTGATTTTATGGATAGGTAAAAAGGTAAGAAAGCAGCATATGCACAGGTTACAGCTGTGACAGATGAGGCTCAAATACAGAACTGTGCTGATTGGAGCTATTAGAACCTCACTGCTGCCTTTGTCCCCACTCAGTGCTAGCTCGCATCACCGTGGTGTGGCATAGTTCCAAAGCTAGGAGCCATCAGAAGGGTGGTGGAGAGAGCCTTGGGAGAGAGTGCTGTACAGGGGCTGCTCGAGTCTGAGCAAGATCAGATGGAACTATGGAGACAGGAACTAGGGTTGTGGGGAGAAGACAAAGCTCTGAGACCCTTAGTCCAACAGCTCTGTGTCTGTCCTGCTGAGAGGGCCTGGTGTAATTGCTGAGGGTCTCTGAGCTGCACTGCCTCATCTCTTCCCCTTTGTGCCATCAGTCATTGCACAAGGACACAGTCTGTCCTTGGTTACAAATAGTTGTGGCATCTGCTGTCTTGACTGACTTCCTCTACCTCTTGAAAGGGTCCACTGTCAGCCAGAAACTAGAAGGAATCCCTGCTAGCCTTGGAGCTTTGACCTAGCTTGAGGAACACATCTTTTCACATGAGAGCAAGACTCAGATGTCCTTAGTTGTAGAATTTTACTTGCATACTTTGTTTCCTGTCAACTTAGGATGTTTTTTAGGTCATGCTGCTTATAACGTGTAAACAGTTTTCATTCTGCAAACTGTGACTCTTATACCAAGGTTGGGTTTTTTCTCTCTCTCTCTCGTAGATCATTGCTGTGCACCCACATTTTGTGAGATCCAGTTGTAAGCAGTTTGTGACCGGGGGCAAGAAGGTAACCATGCCCCCACCATGATACATAGAGGGCGCGGTAATTTATCCTTAATGTTTTTAATGTCTGAATATTTATTCCTTAGAAATTTTGAGAAAGAAAAATGTAATCAAATTGTAAGACTATCCTCTCTTGGAGTTGAGGCCTATATTTCTTACTACTTTCCTTTAAGTATGTATATAGTAAGAAAAAGAAAGAACTGCTGGGCGTGGTGGTGCACGCTTGTAAGTCCAGCACTCGGGAGTCTGAGGCAGGAGGATCGCTACGAGTTCGAGACCAGCCTGGGCTACATAGTGAGTTCTAGGTCAGTCTCAACTACATAGTGAGACCCTGTCTCAAAAAACCAAAAAAAAAGAAGAAGAAGAAAGAAAAAGAAAAAACTTGTTCTAAGTACCATTTGGAGATTTGAAATTTCGTCCCTTCCGCAGAAATAAGTGGCAACATTTAAAAATAACCAAAAAGGAATTAACTTACTGATTTTCTTTTTTTCCTTTGTAGAATCTCTCTTGCAGGCTTTGATAAAATTTTAGGACAAATTTGGCTACTCTTTACTGATATGTTCCTGGCACATTTTATTATCTGAGTGAATAATTTAAAAAATGAGAGTGAAACCTTTCTTCTATACATGAATACCTTCTATTTATGTAGTAAATTCTCAAATGAAAAAAATTTGCTGATAATACAAGTAATTTGTTTTCTGTTTTTATTAGCCAGAGATTTATTTTTATTATTTATTTATTTATTTATTTATTTATTTTTTTGGTACCAGGGATTGAACTTGGGTCTTTACACTTGCAAGGCAGGCCACCAAACCGCTGAGCTAAATTCCCGGCCTCAGAGATTTATTTTTAGAACAAGTTTGTATAACAAAACACTATCAGTATCACCACACTGGAGTTGTAAATATTATTTCATATTCAATTTTGAGCTATCACCAAAACAGTAGTCTGTAATTATTTTTATAGTAATACAAAGCTCTGAGATGACTACTTTGAGGCCCTGCTGAAGTGGTTGGTTTGAGTATTTTATGATAGTTATCTGCAGTTTACCCATGTTCTGGTAGGGCATAGGATGATGGGGCAGGAGAGTGCAGTGGTCATTCCCTAAGTCATTGACACGGCTGTGTGGCATGTCTGGGGAACTGATTCCATTCCACAGCACAAGGCCAAGCTTGCACCAGCACTGATTTTTGCTTGAGATTTAGCTTCCCCTGTCCCTTCGTCACAACCCATTGCTAACTCAGCCTAATTTTCCTCATGTCAGACTGTCCAGGGTACTAGTTGGTGGGAATCACAAGCTTAATCTCTTGGATTTTAGCTGATTTGTGCCTGCAAAAATAATACCTTTGTCTTTGTCAACTTCAGGTAAGTAACTTTAAAATTCCTCTTATATTTCTTCAGTAAATACTTTTTGGGTTGGGAAATTTTATGCCCAATGTAACACAAATTCACTTAACTGTGATTTAAACTCATGCATTTTCATTGAAAACTCAGGGAGGATAAAGATTTGGTGAAGTTGCTATCATTTTTTTAATGGTTTGAAACAACAGACATTTGTTACCTGACAATTGAAGGGTGGCTTAGTGATTAGGTTCTGGCTGAGGGTCTTTGGCTTGAGTGCAGTCAAGACATTGACTAAGGCTGTGGTTATCTGAAGGCTTGACTAGGCCTGGAGGATCCACTTCAAGAATGTCTGATGCCTTCTTACTAATAATCTACCATGTACTTAAAATATTGATAAATCACTTTGGTTTCAATATTTTCCAGTGTGTGATGCATCTTTGAGTTACCATTTCCAGTATCAGGAGTTAGAGATTTTGCATTTGGCTCCTACTTCTCAAATGTATGAGTGTAAAAGAACATTCTGGACATGTGTTGATGTCCAGGTGTTTAGACTCAGTATCAAGGTGCAATTGTCCTGTGTTGCTGTGTTCTTAATAATCAGTGAACTTTAATAATGGCTCTTATACTATGCGCGTATCTATAGTCTCATCAATTGTGCTGCATTAGTTTTGCCTACCTACACGATATGTGGGTTAACTGTGTCAATAACGTTTCTTCATTATTCTGCTTGGCGTTTCACATTCTTTACAGACATCTGTAGGAAGAACGTCATTGACCTCACAGTTTGAGTCAGATCTGCTTGTTTGCAGAATAACAGTATAATCAAGGAACATTGGCAAACTTGGATTTTATGGAAAACTAAATAAGCAGAGAAACAAGTAGTATTCACTAAATGCTGATCATGTAAGAACATCACAGGTTTGGTTTATCTTTTCAGTTAGCATTGACTGATTGACACGTGGTTCTGTGTTCAGTCTTCTTTAAGAGAATTCTGATTCCTCTTTTTTTTCTATTCAGTTCTCCAGAAAGACATTTGTAGACATTTCTTTCTGAGCACAGAACATGTTTGTGTATATACAAAATGATACTAAATAAAAACAATTCAGATCATCTGGTGAAAAATTGAATAAAAAGATGATACTACTAAATTAGAATTGCTGGATTAAAATAGTTTAGAAGAAAAAATACCAGGGCCAGGGATTTAGCTCAGTGGTTCTGTGGCCTGCCTTGCAGGTACTGGGGAAAAAAAAAAAAGAAAAAGAAAAAGAAAAAGTACCCTGTACGACTAAATATATTTTATACCAGGATTAGTATACTGGACTTGATAAAAGTACATATGTGATCATTTGAAAAGAATCATGTGATCACAGGCACATGTAGATGATATTGACATTTTTCTTTTAGTTTTTATTTTAGCTTTATTAATATATAATTTGCATATGATAAAATGCCCTTGTTTAAAGTATGCCATTAAGTGGCTTGTAGTAAGTTTATAGTGCTGCACAGTTACTTTTAAATCAGTTACTTTTAAAAATATTTTCATATCCTTAAAAAGAAACCTTGTGCCAGTTAGCTATCACTGATCTTCCTTCCATCACTAGGCAGCAGTTAATCTATTTTCTTTGTAATTTTGCCTGTGTTTGGATTTCATATAAATTTTGGGTATTTTATATAAATGGAATCATGTGGTTTTTCTGTATTACGTCTTTCATTTTCTAGGTACGTGCGTGTTCAATACAGTATGTATCAGTACCTCATTCCTCTGTATGTTCAAATATTACTCTGTTGTATGGATATATTTTATTTATTTTACTGTCTCAGTTGATGGGCATTTGGACTCTCTCTGCTTTTGGCATTTATAAATAATGCTGCTGTGGATATTTGTGTACACCTTTTGTGGCTGTGTATTTTCATTTATCCTGAGAGTAGAATTTTTGGGTCATGTCCTAATTCTGTGTTTAACACTTTGGAAGTACCATCAAACTGCTTTCCAAGGTGACTGCACCATTTTACATTCTTAGAAGAAATATGAGGATTTCAGTTTCTCTGCATCCTCTCCAACATTGAGTTTTGTCTTTTTGATCATAGCCATCGTGATGCGTAGTAAATCATCTCTCATTGTGGTTTTGACTTTCATTTTCCTAGTGACTACTGTTGTTGACCATCTTTTCTTTCATGTCTTTTTTGGCTACTTGCGTATCTTTAGAGAAATGTCCATTCATGTTCTTTATGGATTTTTAATTCGATGTTAGCAGTTGTAGTCATTCTTTTTTTTTTTTTTTTTTTTTTTTTTTTTG